GAAATCTTGGTAGTGGTCCAAACCATAGTGAAATATTAACCTCCTCCAGTCTACCCATCCTTCATTGCTCCTGCTCCCTTTTGCCATCTCCTGTTAACACCCTGCAGCCATGGACCTGCTCTGAGCTGTGGCCGTAGCAGCAGTCAATGAGGTTCAGATACACATTTCTCTTCTGTGGCTGCGGCTTTGACAGCAAACTCTCGGCGTTACACCACTGCAATCTGAATGCAGATTTGGCATCACTGAAATATGTGGAAGAGGAGGACAGTATGTTAATTATTTTGTTAAATATCAACTCAATTGTATCTGCTCTTGGTGGGGAAAAGCTCCTCTCTTGAGGGTATGATGGTTTTCTTTATCAGGAGGAAAGTGTTATGTTGGTAGGATTCCCACCTTTCCCTTTGCTTGTCCTTCAGCATATGCCTCTGGCACAAGATCATGGTTTTGTGATGCAGCACTGTAGATTGTCCTCTATGTCTGATCCAGAGGAGACTGTTACAGGCGTCAGTAACAGAGCTTTACCATTAAAGCAGCTTGTATACTTGTGTCTGCAGAGATGCTCAGTGTGATTCCTGGCTGCCTGCCCAAAAGGTGGGTTTGGTGTTTTTTATTTTACACTACGGTTGGAGATGAGTCAGCATCAGTGAGATGTATACTGCTGCAAAGATGCTGCGTTCAGTAATTCGGAGGGCATCAGTGATTACTTTTGTGCTTTGATTAGTGCCTGAACTGTCAGAGTTGCCTGCAATTAGTCACTTTGAATTGGGCTTCAAGAAGCCCTGGTGTGGAATTTTTCCCCAACATTTAGTGGCTTTCTCACCTCCAGTCAGTTTTGGGAGAGACAGGAACCTCAGCCTCTGAAATAATCTTTCCTCTTCTTGATAGGGGTCAACTCACTGCAACTGCTGACCATGGTTTAGACTTTCAATATTTTTCTCCTAACAGACACTTAATCCCTTGCATCTTAATTGGCTAGGAAATAGTTAATGCTCAGTATTGACCATTTATTCCTTAAAATGAAAAGCAAAGTATAAGCTTCTGCAGGAAACAATTTTTATTTCATTCGACTGAGTGTAAAAAGTCAAAAAGGAATGCGTATATGTATTTTGAAGTAGACACCCAAAGAGTTAGGTCAGCAGGCATTACTGGGGTCACACCCTTTGACCTTAGAAATCCTCTTGTTCCTTAAAATCTCCATAACTTCTTCAGTACTTTCTTTACAAAGGCCAAGCAAAATGCATTTAAAAAAAGAGAAGAATAAATTCTGTTATAAAATCACACTCTTAAAAATCTAAAAACCAAAGATGATTCTGAAAAATAAAAAAAGTTCTAAGTTGAAAGAAAATATCTTATCAATCCTAAATATAAACTGATGTCTACTTTGGAGCTTGGAACCTAGTAAAAGCCTCTTTAAATTTGCTTGGACAGTGGAGATTCAGGGATGTGCCTGAACATAGCAGATTGCAGCATTGTGGCTTTTGGATCGTGACCTCAAAACATCAGTTTATTTGTGCATGTTAAACAAATACAGAGATTTTCTTTGCTGAAAACTAGCATGGCATCAGATGGACACAAGATTATTGTATTTTCTTACAGAGCTAATTTAGGAAAGGAGGAAAAAAAGAAAAGACTGCAAGACGACGCAAATTTGGTCTCATAATAAGCAAAACCAATCTCATTCCTCGTGACTTTTCATTGTGGATGAGGCCCTGAGCAGCATGATCCAACTCTGAATCTGGCCCTGAGAACTAGATGCTGCCTGACTTGAACTGGTTTATTATAGAAAATAGAAGGGATGTGGTTTTTCTTACCCTTTCTTTTAACCCTATAGTGTTAAGCCAATACCCAAGAGAATCAGCAGATTGCCTTAGAAGTTCAGTTTTCTGTGGCTGTGTTTGGTGTTTCCATTGTCATCAGATTAGAACGATTTGAAAGATGCAGTTGTTTTCCTGACTTTTTGGGGTCAAACATTCAAAATAGCCTCAAACTACATGGGGGAAAACTGGCAGTTATGCGTGTGCATTCCCTACCAGAAATATTTAATGAAACCTGGCTGCACAGTGAATTTTAGAGGCACTTCAAAACAGTGTTTGGGGAGGTTTTTAATTATTTTTTTAATTGTTATATTATTTTACTTTTTTTTTTTTTTTTAA